GTTTGTGAAATTACGTCTCACACAAGGTTTTCAAATTACTTTATAAGTTATTAAATGAAAAAAACGTGAAGGTGAGTACCTCACCTTCAGCATTATAGTTATTTCACCCGCGCCGGCGCCGGACAGAGACGGTGATGCTGCATGTCGTGCCAAACCTCTCACGGCAGAGTCATCAGCTTGAGATCGTTTTTTTGAGATCGGCCGTTTTAAAGACCGCCGATCAATCATCCCAACGCGATTATCGGCCGATAGTGATCGGTAGCCGATCAATCGGAGCACCCCTAATGAATATACATATGGTATATATCTAAATTTAATCCTCTAGTATTTGGGTAGATATTTAAAGATGGCCATCTATAAGCATGATGGTTTAAATATGAAACAGTAACACTTTACAATAAAATTCCACACTAAGTGTAACACATTAAGGTTAATAAGTGCTGTGAAACTATTGTAAGATTGTTAATGCACTATGAACTAACATGAATGATAATATTTTGGATCTATATCAGGTACAGTACATGGCAAATTTTCTCAAAGAAAGAAAAAAAAAAAAATCTCTCAACAAACGCTGTAAAATATACATGGGAGTCAGGTTATAATACTAACTTTACAATTACAATTATATTTCTACTCCAATTTGTTTTTTGAAATATACACATTTAAAATGGTGGCTGTCATAAAAACTAGAGCCCAACCGATATATCGTTTTGCCGATATTATCGGCCGCCGATATATCGGTATCGGCGAATATGCCGCCGATATGACATTTTTTTTTACAGAACATATAAGTTCTTCGAGCTGAAGGGATCCCCCGAATTTGGTGGAGATCTGCCAGCGCGTTCGCGAGACAGTGACACCAGACAACACTTTGCATTCAAGCGTTGTCTTATTCGACCGTAAGTGCCCTGCGAAGTGGACTTCACATGGAATTCCGCCATGATTCCAGTTCCAAGGGGCCGGGCTCTAATAAAAACTTGACAAATTTATTCAATAAATATTGAAGAACAGTAAAAATTATAATGAATATGTCATGGTGCATATAATTTGTAAAATGCTCCTCTCTAGAGTTCATTTTTCTAGCTGACTAATGAGTTTGGTCACAGAATCTTTTTTTTACTGAGGTAAATGTGACGTTGCGTGACATTCTATTGTTTAAAAGCTGTTATATTGACGTCTTTCAGCAGTTGAAACTCTGATTGAGCGACAGTTTTTATTGTTTGAACATTGTAAAAACAAAAAGACAGAATTTGAAATCTGAGA